GGCTGGATTCGAACCCGCCACCATGGGTGTACATGGCTGGTGCCTTAGCCACTTGAGCCACAGGCGCCGAGCCACATATTAGTCTTAATGGATCCTCTCTCTCCCACTCCCATGATCTACCAAAGCAGCTAGCCTAGTACATAGTACCAAAGATAATGTGAAAATAATAAATTATAAATATTTCTTATTTTTGTATAACCTTGGGAATATCATTTAGATTAAAACTTCCAAATACTCTGCATTAGGAGTTTAAGCAGAGGTCATCTCTTATCATAATACAATCTATGAACTAAAAAAATAAGAAAAAACCCCCAAAACTCCGAGTGAACACTCACCCTTTTCAGAACTGGCACTACCTCCACTTGCTGCCGCAGCCTCAAAAGATGTTCCTCTAACAGAAAACACCTTCACTTTCTCATCACACTTCACTGTACACAAAGCATTTCCTGAAAAATACAAATTAGTTTTTAAAAGAAATAAAACAGAGGCTTTAAATTTACTTCACAGAGACAGGGTAAGAAGTAACTGTGAACTCGCTATTTTCTAACTCTATGTACGGAAGAAGAAACCATAATGGTAAAGAACATATCAGTAATTAATTTTAACCCTGGATGTCTTTAAAATACAGGACAGGTGCTGACAAGCCTGGAAGCAAGAAACTGGAACAAGCAGCTACACTAAGAAGAAATAAGAACAAAGCTTCCTTCTCCCCAAAACAATACAATCTGTAACCGAAAAACATGAGCTACAACTTAATAAGAATGTAGCTACTAGGGTTCAGGCCCATAATCCAAATAGTAGCACTTACAGAAGTTGAGATGGGAGGATCACTTGAGGCCACGCAACATAGTGATAACCCATCTCTACAAAAATTAAAACATTAGGCTGGGTGCAATGGCTCAAGCTTATAATCCTAGCACTCTGGGAGGCTGAGGCAGGAGGATTTCCCGAGCTCCAGAGTTGGAGACGAGCCTGTCTCTACTAAAAATAGAAAAATCAAATGGTCATTGTGGTGGGCACCTGTAGTCCCAGCTAACTCAGGAGGCCGAGGCAAGAGGATTGCTTGAACCTAGGACTTTGAGGTTGTTGTGAGGTAGGCTGATGGCACTCTAGCCTAGGAAACACAGTCAGACTGACTCTGTCTCAAAAAAAAAAAAAAAAAAAATGAAAAATTGGTTCAGCACCCATAGCTCACGGAGTAGGACGCTGGCCACATACACTGGAGCTGGCAGGTTCAAACCTGGCCACAGCCTGCTAAACAATGACTACAACAAAAAAAAATAGCTGGGCGTTGTGGCGGTGCCTGTAGTCCCAGCTACTCAGGAGGCTGAGGCAAGAGAACCTCTTTAGCCCAAGAGTTTGAGGTTGCTGTGAGTTATGACGTCAGAGCACTCTACCGAGGGGAACTTAGTAAGACTCTGTCTCAAAAAAAAAAAAAAAAAAGAAAGAAAGAAAGAAAGAAAAAGAAAAAGAAAAATTAGCTAGGCCTAGTAGCACATGTCTATAGTCCCAGCTACTCAGGAGGCTGAAGCAGGAGGATCGTTTGAACCCACGCTGTTGTGAGCTAGGCTGATGGCACTCTAGCTTGGACAAAAGACTCTCAAAAAAAAAGAAGAAGAATGGCTCCGCGCCTGTAGCTCAGTGGCTAGGACACCAGCCACATACACTGGAGCTGGGGGGTTTGAACTTGGCCTGGGCCTGCCAAACAATGACAACTACAACAAAAAAATAGCCAGACACTGTGACGGGCACTTGTAGTCCTAGCTACTTGGGAGGCTGAGACAAGAGAATCACTTAAGCCCACGAGCTGGAGGTTGCTGTGAGCTGTGACACCACAGCACTCTACTGAGGGTGACATAGTGAGACTCTGTCTCAAAATAAGAAAGAAAGAACAAAAGAAAAATAAAAAATACCAGCCTGGCATGGTAGCACATGCCTATAGTCCCGGATACTCAGGAGGCTGCAGCAAGAGAACTGTTTAAGCCCATTAGTTTGAGGTTGCAGTGAGCTATGAAGATACATGCCACCATATTCTAGACTAACAGAGACAGACCCTGTCTCAAAAAAAAAAAAAAAACCACAAAGAATGTAGCTATATACATGCTAAAGAAGAAATATATGTGAAAACACGATAGGGCATTAAGAACAAGTACAGATGTGCCAATATTTTAAAAGGATTTAGGCACTCCTTATAGATTAGTAATCACAGTAAGAATAAACTAAGCTATGACCAAATATTTCCCCTCAAACATTACTGAAAATGAAAGGTCTGATTTGAGAATTGACCATCTATATTGAAATACACAACTTCAATCAGGAAGAACAGAGTCCACTGCCTTCTCCAACCCCACCAAGCATCAGTGTGCTTAGCAATACATCAATCAGCTAGAGAGACACTGAAATGAATTTCTCAATGCAGATGAAAAGAGAGTAGGAGAAGAAAAAAGACTGAGAATGCTATTTAAAGAAAAAAAAGTTGTCCTTTTCTAGGTGCCACTTAAAGAAGATTGAATTGAGTCTAATTTTTATTGACCACTGGAAAAATCTCACTTTGCAAACAGAATGACCCAGGCAGGAAAGCACTATGTTTGGGATCTATCGATAACAGAGAGAACGCCTTGTCATGGTCCAGCAGCAATTCTAGAGTAAAATTTTTTCAGAAACCTTTAAAATGGTTCATTTAAAGCAATTATATGGCTTATTATAAAATTCTATCTTCAAGATTAACTTCTGCTTTTTGCTAAAATTTAACATGTTGTTTAATTACCTTCCTTGGGTACTTACCTGCATAAACCGTTCTCACGAATGTGTCAGGTGACTTGATTGCAATGATATCAGAAATTGGGGCAACATCAAGTTTGGCTGCTACCCTGGGCAAAAGGTTCTAAAAAGCAAAACAGGCAGTGAGTGACATGCACACACTGTGAGGATAGCTAAAAACTATCACCAAGGACAGCTTCTAAATGCACAGTCCACAGAAACTGTAATTCATGCATTTATATTTCACACGCATCTTTGAACATACTGCAATTTCTAGCACACCCTTCTGAAAAGACTTTGATATTGAGTGCCTAATGTTCCTCTATGTACATTAAGAGTTTTATGAGCTTTACAGTAATAAGCCATCTTAACTCAGTATGTTCAATCATGTGATATGATATATACTTTAATAAACATCAGTTAAAAAGTGTGAAAGTTTGGGATTATTGAATTTTGGTAAGAAAGAATAAAATTTAGAAGAGTTGTGAAATTCTGAAATAATGAAAAAAGTATTTCTATATATTTTCTTTTTTTTTTTTTTTT